TACAATGGTGGGGGCTGAACCTCTGTGCAGCCAATCAGGGCCACAAGTTCAAGACAGGGACTCGGGAATTTGACTTAGCTCAGGGATCTGTTGCCCGTCATTGAGGACAGACAGGTTTACTCAGTGACTTCCTAGGTCCCTTTCTTGTCTGAAGCTCTGGCAGAGGGACAGAGAGGAAGTAGAGTGTGGCATTCCCCCAAGAGGCTCGGGATTCAAGTGTCCCCTGTATGCCCTTACCATACCCCCCCCCCCCCCCCCCCCGCCTCTGTCACACTGCCCCCTGTGGGCATGAGCAGTTAATGCCATTCTCAGTGAATCCTAAGTGCCCCTTGGAACTGAATTGGTTACTGAGTCCCACTGAGAGGAGAGAAAGGACAAACCCAACCCAGTTGGAAGAGAAGAGAGGGACACAGCAAAACCTGGAGGGGCTAAGACAGAGGACACGGGAGGGGCTTGAGGTTGTCACAAGGATGCCGCCTGACACACACCAGCCCCTGGGTGAGAAAGAACAGGAGCACCGAAGGAAACCTGTGTTGACGTCTGGCTTAGTTAATTCGTGAATTCACGTGGTCAATAAAAGTATAAAAGTTAGTGTTTATAACTACCAGACCCTTTATGACAGTGGTTCTCAACTCTGCTAATGCTGTGACCCTTTAACACAGCTCCAATCATGTTGTGGTGACTTCCAGCCATAAAATGATTTCATTGCTACTTTATAACTGTAATTTAACTACTGTTATAAATCATAATGTAAATATCTGATATACAACTCCCCCCACGGGGGGTCACGACCCACAGTTTGAGAACCGCCGCTTTATAACTAGTCTGCCTTTAAGTTCTAAGTGTAATGAGAAAAACAGCAATGGAAGCAGATTATGGGGCCGAAAAGCCTGAGTCCTTTAGCAGGGATGCCGCAGAGGGCACAAGGAACAAAGAGAAAAAGCGACTGACCCTGCAAAGCGATGATGTGGGGAGGGGGACAGAAGGGGGGAGCTGTGGAGGCCACACTTGAGCACGTATGGAAGAGCAAGAGGGGAGCGGCTGTCCTTACAGCTTCCTATGTCCTCTGCAGAGGAAGCCAGCGCCCTAGAGGTAACGGAGCTTAACTGAACTCGCAGGTGAAGAGCCATGAAAACTCTTTGGCCCCGCTGGCTGCACGGAGCAGACTCCCAACCAGGGACACCTCGACTGCTTCTGGGGTCAATAGAGGGCCTCTGCTAGGCTCATCAAGAGAGTACTGAGCGCATCCCTAACGTGGATCAGCTGCTCTGGGCTCTGCTGCAAGGGTCACAGTGCAAGCGCGGTAGGTAAAAGCGTTGCGCTTTGAGGGCAGCTGCAGTGAAAGCCGTAACTGGCTTCTACTTGCCTGCACAACTACGAAGTTCCCAGGCTCTGGTATGATCCCTCCAAGGCGGCAATGGTGAGGCACAGGTCTGCTCTGGACAGGGCTGGAAAGAGCCCACCAACCGTGCGCTGAGTCAGCTCTGAGCCCTGTCTCACCAGCTAGCACGGACCTGCCTCTGGGCTGTTGTGCAGTAAGCGAAGGACTCCGCGGGGGTTGCAACCACTGAAGATCCGCCACAGAAAGTGGATGGGCTTTTAATTTGTTACATGCAGCTTTGACTGGACTCTGCTCTCAAACAGGAGATTCGTGGGGGTGTTTTAATAAATATCCTGATAGTCTGAACTGAATTCTTTTCCACTCCCCAGAGGAAACGGCTACCCTGGGCAGGGCAAAGATAAAGACACTGCGGTTAGTTAGTACCAAGAGATCCAGGCTTGAAGTCCAACTAATTCCAAATCCTGAGGCAATCCTGGGAGATTTTTCTTAATCACGGGACCAATCTCGGTGGGGGAAAGTAAATAAAATAAACATGAAAACGAAAACAAAAAAAACCTTCAGGCACTACCAGTGGCCGCTCGCCCTCTTGTGGCCAGTATTGGTATCGACGCCTTGCCCACCAGGCCCCGGCTTTCGGTCGCCTCGGAAAAACAATCATTAATAATACACCAGGACTGTTTAGTACCAAAAGTAGTTTCACTTAATAATATGAGAAAACGTCTAGCATGGGGATGAGGAATGAATGCTCTTCTTGGCGCTCATTAGGACTTCTAAACAGATCCCTTCAGACTCGGGGACATCTTTCACAGGGTATCAGATTGTCGCTAAACTGCCACTGAAGACTTCCTGGGGAAGCTTCCCTACCGACTGTCACTTCAGAGCGGTCTCAGTTTCGAGCAGGACGAGAGGCCACAGAAGCCTCTTTTCTTCCATCTGCGGTGCCCAAACATTCTTTCAAAGAAGCTTTGCATTGTAGCCAAAGAATATCCCTACAATGTTGGTCCAATTTCCAGCTCCAGATTTTTATACAGGGTCTTAGAGTGGGCTCAGTTAGTAGAATGTTTGCCTGGCGTGTGTGAGGACTGAGCTCAAGGCCCACTACTGAATACGCACAGTGTGAGGGTGTATACTCGTAACTCTAGCACTTGGTTGGTAGACACAGGAGGAGCAGAAGTTCAAGGCTGGCCTGAACTACATGAAAAGGTGTTCTTAAAAATGAAATAACAACAACCAAACACACGTAAAAGCATACCGTGAACAATATATTCTACAACGTGAGTATGTAATGAAATTTCTGAAATCTATCCGGCCTGGTCCTCAGCTGATCTTGATCCTCGTTTAGGCGTGTCCGCTGACTGTGTGGTGGAAAGAAGGTGAAGGGGTGGGATCTCTCAACACTTTGCTTGCGGAGAATCCCACCCGGGGCCACTAATGAAGTCTCATTCTGCTCTCAAAAGTTGGCAGCGTCCTGGCTGGGGCCTCAGCCATCTAGTCCAGGTGTGTGATACAGCCAGGAGCTAGCCTGTGCTACCGGCCTCCTGTGTCGTGCTCGTGGGAAGGTGAACCAGGCCCTCGTCTCAGCACCAGTTGCCACTTCGGGCCATTTATTGTTGAGACAGATCTGTTGCGCTCGGAGAGGTGACTCTATTGCTTGTGGGCAGGAGTTTCACTACCTCAGAGCAGAGGCTGAACCCGCGGCCAGCGCCCTCCCCAGACAGGCGTTCACACGGGCAGCCGTGGAGGACGCTCTGAAGGAAGATGGTATCTGAGGGAAGCGCCCCTCTGTGCAGTCCAGGGATTATATTTAGAGGGGGGGGGGGGGGATGAATGTGTACCTTGGAAGAAAGGCCGAATCCAGGATATCAAGTGTTCATTGTAAGTTGGGAGGAGAATTGAAGCAGGAACCCAAAGTAGTTTCAGCTGCTTCAGAAGCAAACTGGATTCAGGCAGTAAAGAGAAACGTGGGAACACGGATTTTACCTGTTAAGTTAAAGGGAGCTCGGCATGTGGTCTGTCTCTAAGCACATTTCCTTAAAGGGCCTCCGCATTCAGCACCTGTGATGAATTCTCTACTCCTAGGCAGCTGCCCCACAGAGAACAGCAAGCTGCTCCTAGTTAGGAAATTTCACCCACAAGGCCCTGCGGAGCTCCAAGTCTCCAGAAACATGTTCTTTGAAAGATAGCAGAATGCAGAGATTTTTCTGTTCCAGGTGTGTTTTTTGTTCCGTTCTGGTTTTTGTTCTTGTTTTTGTTTGCTTGCTTCCTTACCTTGTTTTGTTTTCTTTGGGGGGGGGGCACAGCAGAGGTGAGAGGGGATGTGGCTTCCTAGAAGGTGAACAGAATTGGGAGGTGGATTCAGCAGATAAAACCTGCAAGTTTTATCTGACCCTAATCACCAGAGTTCCACCCCCAGAACCTATGGAGGAAGAAGAGAACTCATTCCCAAAAGCTATCTTCTTACCGCCATGTGTGCACATAGCATGAGAAGGTGCGCATGCGCACACACACATACATGTATACATACACACAAACACAGCACACACATGCACACACTTTACACAGACAAAGACAGCAAACACATACACACATATATACACACACACTGTGCCCACAAAAGACAGCATATGCACCCACACAAACACAGCACACACACACACTGTACACAAAGACAGCAAACACATACACACAGTAACACACACACACTGTATTCACAAAAGACAGCATACACATGCACACACACAAACATGCTGTACACACACAAACACAGCACACACACAAACTATACACAGACAGCATACACATCACACACGCACACACACTGTACACACACAAAGACACCATACACATGCACACACACAAACACACTGTATACGTACATACATACCAACACACACACACAGATAAACATACACACACACAAACACAGACACACCACACACACAATAAAACAAACACCTAAAGATAAAAGTAACAGAAGGAACAACTCTTACAGGCTTATCAAGAATCCTGTTTATGAATTTCTGATTTGGGCAATTTGATTGGCCTTGAGAATATTTTTTTTTCATTTTTCTTAAATCCCACGGATGGCCATATATAAACCTTATTACATTCTCTATAAAGATGGTAAGGTCACCATTTATTATATTATAATAATCACCATTATTCAGGTGAGATAACCAAAGAGTAAATGTTGAAAGGGCAACAAAACCACAACGTGAGGAGGCTCCAGGACTGCAGCCGGCACCCTGGTGACTTGAGCAAGCGGGAAGAAGCTAGCGCTGGGCTTGATAATACGGGTACCACAGAGAACATAAGGCCAGGAAGTCAGCCATTTCTGTCCCTTTGAAAACTGTTTGGGGCTGTGCTTGTTTCTGCTCTCTGCCATCCCCAAATGTGTAGGAGACAGGTCCTGAAACCAAGGAAGGGTGAGGTAGAGAAATGAAGTGAATGTTGGAAGTCCCCCAAGTTCTTTAAAATCAGTGGTGAATTAACACGTTTCCAATAAAATCCTGTCATCAAAGCTTCGCTTTGGGGCTTCCAGTCATTCAACAAGTGTTTATTGAACACACGCCATCAGATGCCCACCCTCAAAGACTTCGGGGTGTTTCCAGGACTCCACCTTCCAGAGGCTTGCACCCCAGATCCTAGCTCTTCCATCCTATGTCATCTGTCTTCTGTGTTCAAGGGAACTGGGAATGCAGCATCTGTTCCAGGGGTCAGAGCAGATTTCCCCCTTTCTCTCACCAGAACGGCACAAAAAAAGTCTGCAGTGGCCATACTGCATGAGGCAGATAGTATTTCTGATTCCGGGTGGAATATCCCCTGTGAATCCAGTAGACAGAGAATTAGCAAGTCCAGTCTACAACCCAGTGCTAAGAGTTCACCATATTCTTACAAAACCAAGGCCCGATTTCAGTGAGTTTTGACTCCCTAGCTTATAAAACAATACTTTCTATCTCATAGTGGTCCCAGGATGGCATGAGACAGGCTGTGTGTGTCATGCAGATCACTTAGCTCAGTGCAGACCTTGAGAAACTTCTGTTACTTCAGTGGCCTTGGCAGGGTGGCATTTTAGAGAACAGAGTAATGGGAGGTGGGTATCAGGCTGTAGAAAAATTAGAAATGGGTCTGCCTTTCAGCTTGTGGCTGGACTGTCACAATTACTACAATTTATATTTTATAATTTTATAATTATATATATACAATTTATACTCTTTATTGAAGCAAAATAAAAATATGACTTGTGTGTGGCCTTCTAAGAATATATATATAAAAAAAACAACTAGAATTGCCACAAAGAAAGCTCTGTGGGAAAGAGACATTTTTAAGAATGTTACATATCATGAATTTAAAAGCAACAGTAACATAGCACAGGTCTTACGTGTTTAGAAAAGCAGTTCCCTGCAATAGCCAGACTTCCAATGGGGACTGATCTACGATAGTGTGCCCATCAAGTCTACCACAGTTCAGAGGGGACGAGGAGATGCAGGTGTAGCTCACCTTCACTAACGACCAACGAGTCACTAATCCAATGACTTCGGGGTCTGGACTCTGGTTTTCTTAAAGTAACTCATTTTCTCTCATTTGGAAGTTCATTTAGATGGATACATCTGTTTCGTCATGGACACAATAGGCTATCTACAAGAGCTAGGGGATGCTGTTGGCGAGAATACCCTCTCTGTTCTCTGCAGGGCTGTAATCTTTCTCTGCAGTCTGGTTTCCCTGCCCACAGACTCTGGGCTGCCTGAGAAGATCTCTAGTTCTCTTCCAGTTCTGAGTGTGACTATAGTTCTGGCCTGCACAAACTGTCTCACAATGTGATTAGACCTTTCTATTTGTACTGGAGAACACAGGCTTCTGTCTTGTGCTGTAAACCTCACAATTCTCAGAACAAACGAAAACAAATATAAAACCCCCAAACCTCTTCATTATACTGGTGGTCCAGCCCTGAGCCCCAGAGTGGCCCACCATCTGTGTCCACTGTCTGTACTAAGACACACCCCAGCACTGTCCCACGCAAAAATGGGAGTCCTGCCTTCTGCAGAGCTATCCAAAACCATTTACCTGAGTTTCCTTGGACCAAGCAGAAGAAAACAGCAAAGAATAACAAGACCTTCATGTTTTCTGCCTCCCTCGGTCCACTCTGCTCGTCTGAGCAGGAACACAGGTGTGACTAAAGATTGAGTGACTCCAGGTGGTGAGGGAGGAAATGCGGCCTTTATAGTTTTGAAGAATGCGACTTGGAAATGAGTGAATTATCTGCTCTACTGCGTTAGACTGTGGGCAGGAGAAGCAGGTAATCTTTCCCCTTTTTGGCCTAAAAATAGACAGGCATTGTGACATTCCCTAGAGGCAGAGATTGGCCAGTTAAGCTGGGAAACTTGAAGAAAGACAATCAACAGGGAGCCCTGGCTACTTCGCACCAAGCGCTACAGTCGTAGGTGACAGAGATGTAACCGTGTGAAGATGTGTCCTGGGCCTTCAGGGTATTCAACCGGGGCTGGACGCACCTCAGCTGAGAACACCACAGAGTCTGACCAGAAGCCACTCCCAGATATTTGCTCAACAGAAACAAGGCCCCATGTACACCCAAGAGGGTGTACAAGAACATTCAGAGTAGTGTGACTCATCAATCTGTAGACAAAATTTAAGCGGCAGATTACAACATCATGAAACAACTAGTCACCTCCCACCCAGCAAGGAAACAGCAGAACACAATGACAATAGCAACGATATAGGGATGCCGAGTAAAAAGTTAAAAAAAAAAAAAAGACCAGATATAACACACCAAATTCACAAAGTTGCAGAATCGAACTGGAATATTGTCCAGCAGTCATAGTTGAGTTCCCAGGGGGAGGCCTTAACCTCTCTGAGGAGCCGATGGGAGGTGAGTTGAGAGGTGAGGGGGAGGGGAAGGAGAGGAGGGAGGGGGAACTTGGATTAGCACGTAAAAAAATTAATTAATTAATTAATTAATAATAAAAACTTTATATATATATAAAGAGTTTAACTGGAGTTACCCTACAGAGGGGATCAAGCCCCTCCCAGAAGCTATAGGTTACCAAATAACTTTTACTTTTAAAAATAATTCATTTCCCTTCTAAAAATGGAATGTTGGTTGCCAAATTCATCCTCTAAATATATCCACATTAAAACCCATTTTCTTATATCCTTATTATCAGATTTACACATCATCCCAAGGACAAAAATCGTGACTGTGGGGACTGGAAAGATGACTCAGCGTTCAAGAGCTCTTGTTGCTCTTACCCCTCATGTTCTGTTCCCAGCTACCATGTGGTGGCTCGCAACCATCTGAGACTACGGTTTCAAGGGATGACACCCTCTACTGTCCTTCATGAGCACCAAGCATATTTATGGTGTGCATACATCCATGCAGACAGAACGCACATATAAATAAAAGAACATAATGAGGACTATGTCCCTCAGTGCTACGTCTGTATGAATTTGACCCTCTCTTAGTTCCTTGAATTAAGCTTATAATTATAATTATAACTTATAATTAATCAGACCAAGTGACAGGGAACAAGGAATCGCCCAGGGCACTTTTGTCTCTATTGTAGAAAGGAATCTACACGTACACCGAATTAGTTCTTAGCGAGCACACATTGTTACTCTTACTTCCTCTGAGTTACACTGCAGCTGGGCAATGCAGACACTGCCGTGACTCAGTCTTCCAAGAAGTGGCTGAACCCAGATGTCCGGAGAATGAGGAAAAGTGTAGAACGTGGTAAGAGAGGCAATACGTGTCACAAGCCTCATAAACATGGCTGATGGAATGGCCTCAGGGGCAAACCTGAACTCCTGTATGTTGGACTGACTGCCTTTGTCCTTCCCTTACCTGTGAAGCCTGCTGGCTGCAGGTGAGAGAGAAGTCAGCTTGTTTCCGAAGTGTTGAGCCTCTGGCTTCTCAGATCCCTGGGTCTCTAGGCCAAGCACTACTTAAAGATGCATCCTCTTAATGAGCTGTCTTACAGAGAAACAGAAGTGCTGACTGCCCACAACAGGTGCCTCAGATAAGAACATAGCAGGCAATGACCAGAATTCTCTGTGCTGAGAGTTCTTAGGAGTTAGAGGATGATGGCATTGAGGTCCAAGCAGGGAGTCCCCAGAATGCTTTCCTACTTCCCTCAATGCTTAAATACAGTGGCCTCGTATTGTTGGCCTGTCACCAACAAGCACTTCAACCCAACAGAGCCATGTCTGAGACCCTCGGAGAAGATCTCTGCTCACCAGGAGACTGTGCCTTGTTTCTCTGCCTTCCTCGTCTGCCTAGAAAAGCTGATGCTATTTGGGATTGCTCCAGGAACCTAGTCTGTTTCATCAAGAAAGCAACAGAACCCGTGTTTATGAGCTCAATCTCACAGCAGTTTCCCTTCTTACTCTAAAAGATTTCTTGGGAGCCATGGTATCAGTTCCCGTGACCTAAGTAGCAAAAACAAGCCAGGCCAGAAAAGCCCAGGTTGTAAAGTTGTAACGCCGACCACACATACAGACAGGGAGAAAAGGTTAGACATGGTTGTCATAGGTCATAAAAAGCCAACTTGGGAACAGCATTGACTGAACTTGCCATCCGTCAGCTGCCTAACTGACTTCGGGTACTGAGGAAGAAACAGATTTCCCAATGATGGGGAAGTCTCAAGGAATGAACAAAGCAGAGGGATCAAAGCTCTGGAAGACTTCCACGGTTCAGTGGGAGGGAGGACATTGTGTGTGCAAGGTGATGTGGAAACGAGGAAGACCGGGCAGTCAGCTGTGCCCCAAGTGGCTCTTGAATAGCCTGAGGTATTGCTGGCTAGAGCATCTTCCCACCAGGGTACAGCTGGAGTCCATGAAGATCCTGTCATTGTTTCGGATTCTGTAATAAACAGCTTCTGCAAAAAGATCATGAACGAGATGATTAACAGATCTGATGGTTCAAAATTGACCCCAAGAAGCCATTGTGTCCACTTCCTTGTCCAAAATCAGAAATGCAAAATTTACCTCAGATGGGTGACAAAGATATTTTTTATCCCTTGTGAATCTAGTGAGGCTCTACAACCTTCCTGGGTTGTAGTCATATCATTTTAAAGTCTTTATCACTTTAATGTTTAGAAAGTTCTGCCTTACATTAAATTTATAATTCTGTAGCATTTAAGTATTCTACAGAATACAGTTCTATGCTCAGGAGATATGGTGCTGTACAGTCATGCATGTCCTGAGGCATAGAGCATTTGTCCTTAGCATGTATATTTCAAATTTAAGAATAAATGCAATGATTTCATGGGGAACCGATAAAGATAAAATAATTAAAACCACCAGTGATATTTACATTGGACTCTGTATTGATTTCAAATAGTTTTAACAATGAATCTCGTGCAAAATTATATGAACATTTGTTTCCTATGAGGACAGAAAGCTACCTTTGAGGATTTTTTTTATCTTTTCTTTGGTTTCTCACTGCTTTTGTCTTTGTTGCATCTTTGTTTTAATATCCCTTTAAGTAAACATACCGTAGCTTGCTTAGTTAGATATGGCTCTCTTCTTCACACTATGGTGTTTTTCCCAAAACTTCAAAATGTTTTTGTGATCACCTGGGGGATAATTTCTGAGATGCAGAGCAGCTGAGATGACAGGAACATGAATTTTGAGTCTTGTGTTCATACAGATAGATCACTTCATAAAGTCTTTTGTAGGTTTTCTGCGCTTCTACTGTATGGAGTTTGGCTCCTGGTTCAGCTGGCTTGGGGAGTTAATGATTACTCACAGGTGTCCCGAGAGCACAGAAACCAGAGAGGAGCTTTAATGGGGCTACAACAGCTTAGAGCAGCTCTCCCCTTGGGTACCACACAAGGACAAAGAGCACAAGGTCTAGCATCCAGGTCATGGAGGGAGAGAGAGGTTTGCTTACACACAGTTGTCTTGCAAGAAGTTTGTCCCTATGTTAAGAACTCAACTTGTAGGCAAGGTGTGGTGTTTTCTTAGCACTGGAAGGGTAAGGTCAGGAGTTCAAGGTCATTCTTGGCTACATATTGAGTTTGGGGATGGTGTAGGCTACATGCATTCCTATCTAAAAGTAAAGACACTTTACAAACAAAAAGAAGCTCAAAGTTTACAGCTACCACCTGAGTGATTGGCTTGGCTGCGGAATGGACGAGGCTTTGTATTTTGAAGTCTTCTGAGACTAGAGGGAAATAAGAGCAGGTTTTACTTTTGCTTATCTTCTTTTAGCATGTATATTTATGAAGACATGTGTGTGTTTCTGTGTGTGTGTGTGTGTGTGTGTGTGTTCTTAATTTATGCTGTCTGCAGCTATAAATGTCAGTGAGTGGAGACAGGGGGTGAATCTTCAGGTTGTGTTTTATTGAGAGCTTGCGGTCTGAGAAGACCAAGTGCTAACAGCTGAATCAGACTGTCTTACATACCTTCCCCAGCCATCCAGCTTCAGAACGGGTTGGAGGATGTTGGAAAGAAACCAGCCCAGCACTGCCGGTCCTTCTTGAGCTCAAGATGTAATGTCCTGCAGGACTGGTGATGAGTCACCTTTCTGAGACTTGTGATGTCTGTACTTCTCTCTGGTTCTTGTTCTTACCTTCTTCCTCAGTCTCTAGATGGAAAAAAAAGGAAATCTAGGGCAAGGGGTAGAAAAAGAGATGAGGGGTAGCAAGGGGCGTGGAAGACCAGGAGAATGAAAGCCACAAAAACACACCCTGTCTGAAAATAGCATAATGGAATCTAATACTTAGAATAAATTCCTTTAAAGAATAAAAACACTAAATTTTGTAAGAAAGAAAAACTTAAAAGAATGGGTTTGAAAAACATCAACTCTACAGAAAGAAGAAGAAAAGCAGTTTGGAAGGAGGCACAGGAAGAGGAAATTCAAGTGGTGCAAAGGCACGGTTACACAGGACCAGAGTCTAGATCGTGGAGTACAAGGATTCCAGGAAGAATGGCTATGTCATGTATCCAATACCTGCTGACTTGGAAGAGCCCAACATTCTTACATTCACGAAAGTCAACTGTATAAGACAGGAATATGTTAGTCTACTTGACTTGTATGCCTTCAGTATGAATACGTATATCATAACACCCCACCCTTAATTCTGTACACTAAGAAGAAGG